CTAGCTCTTCATCTCCTTGACAGCCAAACTCTGCCTTGTGTCTGTGGTTGGCAGGAGCTCCTGTCCCAGACCCCTGCTTAGTATTGGCATAGGGTCCTCACTGTTCCTCTAGGAGAGAGGGTATTTTCTTCTACCCTTCCTCCCTCAGCAATTGACTTTGCCTTTATCCTGAGGTCAAGACAGGTTCCTACCCCTATACTGGAAAACAGGTGGGTTTTGCTTCCACGTTCCCCAGAAGCAACAGATCTTTATGTATATCCTAGGGAAGATCAATCTCCTTCTTCAATGGCTTACTGCTTTTGTTTTAAGGATAGATGTCTGGGAAAGTGCGTAGGGCTTGTGCCTATTCCCAAGCGGCAGTTACCTCCTGAAAACTTGACCACCAAGAGGACTCCCCCTGGCCTTCTGCCCTGGCACAATCTTCCTTGTGAGCACCAAGTGGGGCCCATGGAGCCCATCTTATGGCCCATAAAAGCTTGCAAGTGGGTATAAGCTCTCCTATTCCAAACTGACCCCCTAACTCACCAAACAAAATTTTGGCTTTTTCATTTTATTAAGATTTTAGCTAATTTCTTCTTATCTGCTTTTATGGCAGCCACTTCTCTTCCCCATGCTTTGCCCAAGGTGACACTGTGCAAGTGTTCTGTCTCCCCTTAGAGGGGCTTTCGCCTCTTATAAGTCACTTTATTTAATTGACCTGTGACCTCACATCTTTGTTAGCTGAAGAAAAGCACAATTTTGTAAATAATATGTCTTAAAAATTTTTTTAGACCAGGAGTGCTGTTCTTTGCAGCTTCTCATTTTACACAAAAGGGCAAAAAATTTCCTATCTTCCTCATAAAAGTGTAGTCCCAGAGTGGTTGCAATATTTGCACTCATTATCGAGTAAAAAGAGCCCAGTCACATAGTTATGCTTAAATGCAAAGAATTCTGGGGAAGGTAGTGTAGCCATGTGCCCAGGAAGAAGAGGAGAATGGATTCTGTTAAGTTATTTCTGTCACCAGGCTCCAAACAAGTGAAATCTAAAATTATGCTGTGTGGTCTTAGGAAACTTACTTAACTTCTCTGTGCCTCAGTTCCCTCATTTATAGAATGGAGATAATGATATCATCAGGCTCATGCATTGTGAGAATTAAATGAATCAATATGTGTAGTGTGTTTAGAAAGTGCATAGAACACAGACTAAGTCTATGTGAGTGTTATCTCAGAGGATGACAACAAGGATGATGTCTTTGAAGACACTGCCCGTGATGTCACGGGCCCCTTCCTCTTCAGGCATTATGAATTTTCTCTGAGGCATTTCTCTTAGGCCTCAGTCCCAGAAAAAGTTATGGTTCTCTTGAGTAGCAATCTGTCTTTATCTTAAGGACACTGCAACTCATATTTCTATCTTCCCTTCCTCAGAAGTTGTCCAGGTTTTGTTCACCATGCACCCCTTCTGCCCTTCAAGCCTTTCTTTGGGACTAATATGCAGATGCTGAGATGGGTCCCTGCCTCCTCCTGGGCCCTAAAGCCTGCCATTCCTAAAACAGCCAGCGTGGCCTTTGCAACTATAAGTCAATTCACATCACCCCTTTGCTTTCAACCCTTCAATTACCTTGAGAAAGAAAAATCACGATTTGTGCTGTCCCCC